CCATTATCTATATATAGATGAGGCTCATTTTCACTTCATTACCCCTCTCCTCAAACGCACACACACCTCTCTCTCTCTCTCTCAAGCTTCTTCAACCACAAACCCTCCCAAGGCTTCAAAAACGTGAGTAATCCATCCCTTAGCTTGTTATACTTGAAGAACTACTTCATCTAAGCCTTGATTCATCAAATTTCATCATGTTCTTCATCTCTTGAAGGAGTGCGGCCGCACACCTTCATAAGGTTGGCCGCACACTCCTAAAAGACCCTCCAAAGTGAGAGTTGGACTTCCATATTCGAGTTGGACATGAACCTAACCTTGCTACACCCTAGATTTGACGTTTTGGACATCTTTGTGTGGGGTGTACGACCGCACACACCTGTGTACGGCCGCACACACCCTTGTGCGGCAGCACACTCCAAGTGTGCGACCACACACTCTTGTGTGCGACCACACACTCATTCTTGGACCATAAACCCACCTCTAGGACCCCTATCTTGCACTACAATTGAGTATAGACCTTGAACACTTCGTGGATGTGAGTATGGACCTTGAGAACACTTCAAAGACACCTCATTTCATGAGTGTACAGCCGCACACCCTTTGGGCCGCACACTCATGACCGCACACACACTGTAGGTGGCCATACACCCCCTACACTCAATCCTACAAGGTCCTATCACATTTAGTGGTGAAATACCTCCATTTCACTCCTTTATGGGTCATTGCATGTAATTTAGGATCAAATCGTGTTCAAGGCTTCACTTGAACATCCAGCGTTTCGTGTTGATCCTTCATTCAAATCACCCGAGGTGAGTTCATACCCCTACATTTTCCGTATTTTTAATGTTTTCAGGGGGGGAATACAAGCTAAACATAAATGTTTTCAAAACTCATGCAATTCTCATACTTTAACCCTTTTTTACTGTGTTGAGCATAAGGGACGTTTTCATTAAACTTGCATGGTTTTCCGGACTCGCTATTCACTACGTTTTACATGCAAACTATAATCGGTATAGTTTGGGATTTTCTAAACATAACAAGTATAGAAACTTTCACTACTAAACGTATGCACTAAGACAGAAATAGTTTACAGTTTGCATCACTACTTTATCACGTTTTCATAACTGTAACTATCACTATAAACGGTATACATTCGGATTTTCACTACGGTAGAACGCTACTACACTACATGTAAACTAGATTGTACGATACTGTGATGCGCTACTTCACTACTGTACCCTTAGGTGTACAGGGATAAATCCTATCATAGTATAACCAGAGTCTCCTGGAGGGAGAGCGTGAGATTTGTGAATAGATCTATTCGGGACTGACAATCCCACACCCGAACTGCTAGCTACAGTTGGGCAGGCATGCCCAGGGTGACAAATGTCATTTAAATCGATGCCTGAAGAACGTTGGAAAGGTCTCTAGTCATATCAAGCATGGTTATACGACTCACATTATGTATAAATCACCTTTAGTTTACAACATGTCACTCTTCAACAGTTTTATTTATACTAAATAGAACTAACACACAATAATGGCTGAAGCCAGGGTTTTCAACCTAAAATCGATTATGCAAAGATTTCATATACGATATACTTATACTTCATGATTAGCCTTAGCTAGTCACATGAAGTAGTATTTTCACATATCACTACCGTTTTCAGTAACGAGTATTCATGGTTTATATGGACCGGATAACGCTACATTTTCACTTAAAGAAAATATCGGATTTTCTTGACGCTATACAAAATACTTTTTACGAGCTCATCAAAAAGTTTTCATTACAAACTACCGCTTATGAACTCACCAGCTTTATGCTGATATTTTCAAACTGCTTGTATTCTCAGGAAATCAGTAGACAGGTACCTGCTGGATTTTTGAGAAGTTGGAGCAATAAGAGTCTTATGTTTATATTTTATATATACTCTCTGATGTAATTCAAACAAGTTTTCAAATTGATGTAAACATTTTCATATATGTATACACTGCGATGGTTGTGTTGCTATGGTTGCTATTATACATTGGTTGTGATGCTATACATGACGTCCTCCGCCCCGGAACGTTTCCGCCATCGGTTTTGGGGTGTGACAGTAGTCTATATGGTTAGTCCCTACAAAGAATTTTTAACTCAAACGGTCCCTATTATACATTTTTGTTGCGCGTTTGGTCCCTGTCATACGTAAAAAGACTATTTTACCCTAACTATTTCTTTTTTAATTAATTTGTTATTTATTTTTTAATTTATTAATTATTTAAACAATAAAATTAATAATAATTAATTAAAGTATAACCACTTAAAGAAAATGTACAACCACAATTTCAACCTTGATCCCCTCTCCTTCCCTGTCACATCTGGACATTATTCACCTCATCGCCTCCTCGACGACTTCGAACCTAATAAAGCTCTTCCGATTCCCCTGATTCATACACAATCCTTTTCCAATTTCTAATTTCCACACACAAAACTCAAATTTGCAAACCTATAAAACATATTATCATCTACCATATTTCTGATTCAACCGGATTTGCTCCACCCACCATCATAAAATTCTGATTTGCAGAATACCCACTTAGAAATTCATTACACCTACTCCAAATCACCATATTGCATACTTGGTGAAGTCGTTTTTGGCAATCGGGAAGACATCAACACATAACTCTGATTCAAAGCCAACCGATGCAAATTTCTTTTGGTGGAGGTTTACCTATAGCTGAGATGCAGATGGGATTCTTCCATAGATCTGAAATCTACCAAGGATGATGAGAGAGGCGGAGTAGACCAGCAATAGTTGTTTGATGGTGGCTTGAGGTGAGTATGAGAGAGGCAGATTAGATAGGTGATGGATGAACCGAAAGAGCTAGAGAGGCGAAGAAAATCGATTGTGACGTTTTTGGCGATGACGGTTTCTGGCATGAGAGAAAGGGGAGGACAAGAGGTGTGTTTTCCGATGATGGCCTTTTTCTCTGTTACGAGACCATCAGAAGGAATCAAAAAGTAAACCTCATACAAACCTGAAGCAACGTTCAAAATCGGTAGCTCGAAATCGTCCAACCTTCTTCTCTACCACAACACCACCAGAAGAAATATGAAGATGGATTTCTAAAAAACCAAGGAAGAGGATGGGGCGGGTCTTCGAGATTGGGTGGGTTATAGGGTTGCAGATCACCAAGGAGATTATTAGATATAGTTCTCACTTTTCGTTACCTTCGTGATGTATATACTTAGCCGGAGATTATGGGGCATATTTTCTTCTCCTGTGGCGCCAGAGGGAAGGCTTGAGTTCTGAACCTAGAGAGAGGGGGAAGTGTTGTGGGGGAAAGAGACAAATCCCGATATGGGTGGGGTATGGACTGGGGCTTCAACATTAATATATTTATTATTAAAATTAAAATTAATATTAAAATAAAAATATAAAATAAAATAAGAAAAAGGTATAACAATCATTTCACGTATGACAGAGACCAAACGCGCAACAAAAATATATAATAGGGACCGTCCGACTTAAAAATTCTTTATAGGGACTAACCATACAAACTACCCCAAACCATAGGGACCATCCGTGTAATTACTCTTATTTTTATATATTTTTCGGTATAATTCAAGGTGGTCAACGTTTCGACTTTAATTTAGAACGTCCTTTTGTTATTTTTTTAAATTACATTGTTTTTTTTCATAAAATTGTCGGTTTAAATTTAAGTATGTTTATATTTCGACATAGTTTTTTTTTACGTTTTTGTGTTTAACTTTATGTACGTTTCTTACGCATGAGACGAATTACATATAATAACTTTCATTTGTTAATTTTAAAAAATGTATTATATTCGAGTTTGTCTACATTTCGACGTAATTTCTTTTGTTTAGTTTTGTGTGCTTAATTTTATGTACATACCTACGTATCATTCGGGTCATATAATAACTTTCGTTCGTTAACTTAAAAAAAATATTATCATCGATTTTGTCTACGTTTTGCAAAACTTATTTTTTTAACGTTTTCGTGCTTAATTTTATGTACGTTTCATATGTATGACTCATGTCATATATAATAAGTTTTTTTATTATTTAAGTTTTCGTTTGTTAACTTAAAAAAATCTTACTTCTTTTTATGCACGTGTCGATATAAATTTGAGTTTTTTTTTTAATGTTTTAATGTAATTTTTTTGTATATTTTGGTGCTTATTTTATGTATATTCCTACCTATGTGTTTGTTCACATATAATAGATAAATGCGTAATTATAAGCATTGAATTTTATAAGTTGAATTTTGACGATTTATTGATAAAAGTAACGTTTCGACGTAAAAAACACGTACATAAAAATAAGCCTGAAAACATAAAAAAAGTACGTCAAAATGTAGACGAACTCTACTCCATACTGATACATAAAAAACGTATAAACAAGTTACGATAAAAAACGAGCAATTTTAGTAAGATTTGTAATATGAATACTTTTACATTTTGTAGAGATATAAGGTGCCATTTTAGGATTCCATTTCCTAGTATCATGGCCAAAATGAACTCCTGCTTCCATCATCTCTTCTAAATTAATATTCCAATATCTTCTTGTCATTTCTCCCCACACTGCCTCCCCCTTTTGAAAAAAAAGAGGTACCCTAAAATAAATAATTGTTCCGATGGCACCTTCTTTTATACCATAGATTGGCGTAGATATAGAGCCCAAGCCATTATTTTTTCTATTTGTTATTTTTTTTATTACTATTACCAAATCAAATGACTGGACCAACGGATCCTTTATAAAAGATAAAAGAAAGGGGTGGATATGTTCTTAGAGATCATTAAATCCTAAAAAAATGATTGTTCTTGTGTATCATGGAAATTATTTGAAAGGCCATAATCAAATAATTTTTTGTGGTAGAACAAAATATCTTTCATTTCCCCCTCTAATAGATTCTTTTTTTGGAGTTCAAAGGCAATGTTGTTAGGAATGTTGTTAAGTTCGCTTGAAGGTGTTTTGAAGCCGCTACCAACATGTATCATCCCCCTATAACAACGATTTCTTTCAGACATTTCAACCAATCAATATGGCCCAGGAGAGCTACTTTTGCTAAAAATCTAGCAGATTCTTGAAAACTAGCTTCAGATATGAAACTTTGAGTATTCATAGATGCTCTTGTTATTCCCAATAAGACGGCTTGGTAACAGATCGCTTCTTCCAAAGTGTGTCCCATTCGTTCCGCTCGCAACAATCCAATTAGTTCTCCGAGCGAAAAAACATTAGACATTTCTTCTTCTGAAACCAAAACTTTTGATGTTATTCGACGTACAATAATTTCTATATGCCTATTATGTATCTGCACCCCCTGGGAGCCATAAACCTTTTGGACCTTATTAACCAAAGAGATACGACTTTGCACTATAGTTAGTTCAGCACCAATCAAGAATGCCCAAGGAATTCCAAGAATTCTTGTTATAGATTTGTTCCAACCCTCAATCCTCTTTTCGAGATTCATTGATATTGAATCAATCGAACACACTTCTAACACCCGTTCCACTTTTTGGAAGACCTTGCGTTATATCACCAAATCTTGATTTTTCATATATAAATGTAACTAATGTATCGACTTCGTAAAGGATTTCCCTATAATGTCCATGAACAGTTGCTCCTAGAGTAGCCAAATAAGGCTTAGCTGATCGTATTACCACAGAGTCAACTTGAACAATTAGAACTTGACCCGATTTTAAATGCGGTCCTTTTTTTTGCTATACTTTCTTACTCCGGCTGATCGTATACATCTCGTCCTTCCTTGGTTACTTTTGAAAACAATTTTGAAAAATCATTTGAAATCTTTTATAGATCCTTAGTTTGAGTCTGGATTCACATGAATGCTCCTCCAATTCTCTCAAACCAGGGCTCTGATACCAACTTGTAACATCCCAAAAATCAAGGTAAAATTTTCATTTTTAAAATCCAACCAAAAGTCATAATTTTTTACAAAACATTGTTCCCAAAAGTAATAATCACATATCAGAGTATCCCAAAATCTAATAACATAAAATTAGAAGGATATGCACGATCATGTCTTTACTTTCATCCGATCATCTGAAGTACCTGAAACATAAAACTAAAAACCATAAGCCAAAGCTTAGTGAGTTCCCCCAAAGTACCACACACAACCAAACAGATATTCATAATGCATGTTAGGTCCACAACCCCCAATTTGGATTAACCTTGCCCACAACCTCCCGGTTGGATTGCCCTACATATAACATATTGGGTCTACAACCTCCTGGTTGGATTACCCTAGCCCACAACCTCCCGATTGGATTACCTCGGCCTACAACCTCCTGGTTAGATTGCGCCGGGTTTGTTGGCTTACAACACAAAGCAATACATCCTTAACCCCAACATTCCATGTCAACATATACAACAGATAAACACATAACCAGTCAACAGACGAACAGGAAATTCTACTGATCAGTATCACATAGCAACATCCTATAAACCCAAGATACAATTATACAGATCACTGCCTCATGACAACATCCTATATACCAAGATACATAACTTAGTGGGTTGGCATTGGTGCCTTTGACCCACATGTACAGTGAGGAAAACTCACCTCACAGTCTGTCGAAGTAGCTGAATCGCATGCTGCTCCGAATATCAACTCTACCGATCACCTTAACAACCAACAGTGACCAAATATCATATTACAACTCAAAATACCCAAAATACCCCTAGGTCAAACTTGGTCAAAATCCTGGTCAAAGTCAAGAGTCAAAAAGTCAACTAAGTTGACTCAGGCCGAGTATGCCCAGTATACTCAGCATGTACACACGACATACTCATTAATCCAAAAACAGAGCTTAAGGGAGTATGTGCAACATACTCAGCAGTACGCCCACGTACTCCACTGCCAACTCTTCCTTCTAATAAGTGCGTAATCCATTAAGTCTTTTCATCCAAAGCCCAGATCTAGTCCCAAATGGTGTTCTAAATCATAAAGTTTGTAACTTTATGACCTTGCATGGCTATTAAGTGCCCAAACCTTAAACCCTAACTTTTTATCGTATTAAGACCTCATAACCTTTGCATGGCAGGAAAAGAAGGACCAAGATCTCATTTTTCTTATTCTAGACACTACAAACCTTCCAAAAGGAAAACTCATTTGGTCTAGAGTAGCTCATACTCAAATGGACCAAGATTATGGGGCTAATAAGCACAAAACTCCACATCTAGAAATATCTAATGAATAACCAACAAGTTTAGAGCTTTATACCTCTAAATGAAGCTTAAGGGCAAGATTCTACTGGATCCAGATTTCTTCATGCTTCCAAGATGTTTTCCTTTCCTTCTCCTTCCTTTAAGAACACCAAAATACACACTAATGGCTCAAAGATGCTCACAAAATGGATTAGGGTTTGCAAGGTACGAAATGGAGCTGCAGGCTGAAGAGAGAAGGAGTCTTGGGGAGTTAATGATGTTTAAATAGGGTCCAAGCCCTAAAAATTAGGGTTTGGCCTTCAGCCACGAACGCCCAACGTACAAGGAGTAACCCAACGTACGCCATCAGATCCACGCTGTAACGCCGGTGTTCCAGGAAATTTTTATTCTAGCATTACTTCTTAAAAGTTTGAAAATTGGTCCCTACTATGGGCGTACGAGTCAGGTACAACAGGCGTAGGAACCTTGCATGTGATTGGGAGCCTCTCATGTAAACTGGACGTATGTGCATGTACGCTGGGCGTACGAAAGCAGGGGACAAACCCTAATTTTTAGGGTTTAGACCTTATTTAAAGATCATTATTACCAAAAAAAACTGTGCTTACTTCCAGCCTCCATTCCTTTAAACCCTAAGATCGAAAACCCTAGCCTTAAGAGTGAGATTTGAAGCTTTTTGCGGGATTTTTATACATTCTTGTTTGTGAAGGAAGATCATCAAAAAAGTGGCTTTTCTCTCAAGTCTTTGGATCCAACAACTACTCAACATTGTGCATCTTTTGGAGTGTGAGGACCCGTGTTGCAGTAGCTCGAGTGTACGATTTAGTTATCTTCAGTTAGAGGTGAGTCTTCTTACCACACTAGTGGGTCGAAGGCACCGATGTCATCCCACTAACTTGTATATGTTGGATGTATATGATTATGTGATAATGGTTGATATGATTGAATGATATATATCTATATATATATATATATATATATATATATATATATATATATATATATATATATATATATATATATATATATAGAGAGAGAGAGAGAGAGAGAGAGAGAGAGAGAGAGAGATCCAACTTGGGGTCGGAGTCATTATGGACTCAGGGGTTGATACGGACCCGACACAACCACGTGTTGTTATATGTATGTGTGTATTTTATGTGGTATTTTGGGGAAGCTCACTAAGCTTTGTGCTTACAATTATGTTTATGGTTTCAGGTACTTCCGGTTCAAAAGGCAAGAGTCCAGCGTGATGGCACAACATCCTCCCCTCACGATTTCCGCACTTTTTTAATACTATTACTCTTTATGTTTTGGATATTGTATTTTGTGATTGTTTTGGAACACTTTGACAATTGATATTATTTATTTTAAAATAAAAAAATTTATCCATGACTTTGGGGCGTTACAAGTTGGTATCAAAGCCTTGGTTTGAGGGATTTGGGCGCACCCCCGGGTATGTCAGAACTCAAACTGAGGAAATGGTAATCTTTTCAAAGCAAAAAAATTGAATTTCTAAAAAAAGAGATTTTTACTAAGTAAAAAGGGGTGCAATGTTGTTGGGTTTTATGTACTCTAACATCCCTATGGTGTACATACAACCCTAATGCTTTGGATCTAAGTTTTCTTTAGTTATACATGCAACAAAAAAATATCCAAAGCATGAAACCTATAACTAGCATACAACTTGATATTTGAAACATAAAACAAGTTAGAGAATTACCTCTTTGTTTTAGCTTGTAGAACTTGGCCTTTAAGAGCTTAGCACCCCAAGTGTGATGCCTCAAATGGTTCACAAAACAGGAAGAGCAAGAGGAGGACAAATGAGAGAGAGGCTAGCACCACCAAAATCGGCTATACTCATGTTATGACACTTGTGTGTCGATTTTGGGCTTAAGGGGTTACATATATAGTGTAGAATTCCAAGAGTCACTTGTAAACCCTAATTCTTACACTTAGGCTTATGATCCAATAACTTATATGGACTAACTCTTCATGGACTCTCGCATAAACTTAGTCCATCATGGATCAATAGCCCAAACCATATGAATCACTGATTTACATAATCAGTCCCTGTTAATTTAATTAGTCTCTTTTGATCACTAAATTAATTCCAAATTAATTCTTGATCAATAATTATTAAATAATATGATTTATCAATTAATATATTATACTTATAATATATTAATAAATCACAAATAACCTCTTTCTCAAATATCCTTCCTATCAAATTGCTTCGGTGAATGCAACCCAAAATGGACCATGCTACTCTCGGGTCAAGTACATACCAATTATAGTTATGGCCTTAGACACCTAATCCAACAGTCTCCCACTTGCATAAGTCTAATAACTATAACTGCAAGTACGACTTGAAAACCCGACTAGCAATCGTAGGTCTCAAAAGTCGCTGTCGAACTCTGATGCGTCTATCAGATAAGGGATCATATATTCCTCCATTCTACAAGATATCGTATGAACTGGGACATGAATTATAATCATTCTCTCTGTTCATGTGTTGTTTCCCGATTTCCGATTTATGACGACTGACTAATTGAACAAATCAAATCAGTCCAGGCTTGGCCAAGCGCTTAGGGTGTCATCACTAAATCATCAAGGGGCCCACATATATCGCTTTTATCCCTCTTAGGGTAAAAGGAACGGATAAAATTCGACTCATATGCTTTCTCTATTTACTCATCAAATCACACACAATGATATGTTTTATAACACCAAGTTACTGGTGTGTTTTTCATATCATCAATGTGCAACCGACTTGTAAACTGCAATTATATGTCTCCATTTGAAGAATATACGATATTATCGTCTCACTAATCACTCGTGATAGAATCCATGAAGTGATTCACGTGAGCGTGGGTTTAATCAAATACTCAAATCTTATTACAGGAGTACTCATGAAAACTGCATCAAACTTTGCTATGTCTAAACACTTTAGACAATCTACAGACGGATTCATCACAGTCTTACCTCAATACCTACTTCCAAAGTATGATCGACTGTGGATAGTTTGAATAATCTTATTATTCGGGAAGTCCAAACATGCAAAGTGAAACACAAGAATAATCGAATTCAATATGGTCTCAAAACTTTTGAATATAAATAAAACACTTTTTATTTAATCACCACATTGATTACACATTATTCATTGTATAATGTTTCGATTAATCAACTTAATACTTGAATTAAAACAATAGTTATCCCATGCTCCAAGCATGCACACTATGTTTATATATGGTCCTTACTTTGTGAAATAGATCAATTGAAAACATTTCA